TACAAATGTGGCGCGAGTTACCGTGATCGTTTGGTCTTCTTTCTTTTGAAAATCCTCAGTTCCTTTTGTCAAAGTGTACTCAGACTGATTCAATTACTTTAGAATTTCAGTTGACAAGCCGAACTATCTTCTCTATTTCTTTCTGTGATTCAATTACAAATGTGGCGCGAGTTACCGTGATCGTTTGGTCTTCTTTCTTTTGAAAATCATATATTCCTTTTGTCAAAGTGTACTCAGGCTGATTCAATTACTTTAGAACCACGCTTTGGCGGAATAAGATTATTATTCTTATCTTTTTTTCTACTGTTAGTTTCACTCTAACATATTAAACGTTAGGCCTATGTCAATCGTTAGGCCTAACACTTCTAAGATAGTTAACTTCACACCAATTTTATTCTCTTTTGCTATTATCTGTCTGCAGCTTCCCGCTCGTCTCACGCCATTTATATCTTTATCACTTAATCGTCTGTCCGCCTTCTATATTCTCGAAGTCAAAGAATTATCAACAAAACTTCCTACAATCATCTGCTTTTACCTCATATTATAACAAAACTAAACAATAATAAAATACTCACTCACAAAAATAAAATAATCAATAATATCTAAACCAAACAGTCTTTTATATGATGGCACTATTCATTGATAAAAGAGTAGCCCAGGCGTTGGCAGCGTTGGCGAGCTGCCTTCCTTCTTGTCAAACAATTCAAAACTAGGAACAGCCAATGCAAATAGTCCTCGAGTAGCTTTTCGTGAAATTCGACAAAACAAACAAACAAGACCTTCCTTGGTTTTATTTTTAACAACTCTCTTTCATGAAATTAAACTTCACCACCTGCTTAGCATGGATATCCAACTTCTAATAATTAAAATAGTAAATTTTTTCATCTATTAATATCAGGAAATGTGCATAATATTAAGTGAATTTTTCGAGTATAGTATAATACTTGGAGCCATAAATTAACAATCAGGAGAAAGTGTGAATTTATTACAATTATAAGTAAATAACTGAAAATCCGTTAATGCAATCGACGAAACTATTTTATGAAGGGCAGTAAACAAAACAATAATTTATGTTTCCAGCTGAAAATATTTCGGTCTGGCACTACTTGATGGTTAGGGCGTTAGCTCGCAATCTTCGGGGTCGCGGTAACAAATCCAAGGGCAAATATGTTCGCTCTTTTAGCCGTGGGGTGTTATAATGTGATGGTAAATCCTTATTTGTTGACAAAAGAGTGCCTCAAGGGTTAGCGGTTGGTGCTGCCGACTGACTGCCTTTCCTATGGTCAGTTGTTCAAAACTAGAGACGTGGGCAGGTATCCTTACTAGCTTTTCCATAATCAATACAAACAAACAAACAAAGTGGTCAGTTGTTCAAAACTAGAGACATGGGCAGGTATCCCTACTAGCTTTTCCATAATCAATTCATGGAATATATAGTAAGGATACCTGCCCACGTCTCTAAATTTGAACAACTGACCACTTTGTTTGTTTGTTTGTATTGATTATGGAAAAGCTAGTAAGGATACCTGCCCATGTCTCTAGTTTTGAACAACTGACCACTTTTGTTTGTTTGTTTGTATTGATTATGGAAAAGCTAGTAAGGATACCTGCCCATGTCTCTAGTTTTGAACAACTGACCACTTTTGTTTGTTTGTTTGTATTGATTATAGAATATATAGTAAGGATACCTGCCCATGTCTCTAGTTTTGAACAACTGACCACTTTTGTTTGTTTGTTCAATACAAACAAACAAAAGTGGGTATTTTTAATGTGTGCAACCACAAAAAAACACATTTATTGATTCGTCTTTATTAACTTTTATGTGCAGATAGTACAGCTTATGATTTATCAGATAATGTATAATATTTCGTTTACAAAAATTGGCATTATTGAACAGTATCTGCAATAATATATTTAATCGTTAAAATTTGATATTACTGTATCATCTCACGCGTCATAATCAACATTATTAAAAAAACAACAACAAGCTATTAACAAAACGTGATGGCTAGAGGGCTTTCAATGGCGCTAATCTTGATCCATGAATAAAAACACGCACCAATATACCGAATTCAAAAAAATAAATGATAAGGGAAAAGCCACGCGTGATATTTTATCCATTAGGTTCGCTCTTTCTTTTCTTCTCTGGGCATAGGAAGCAAGAGCTTTGGGTTCTTTTCCTTTACAAAAATTTCCATCTTCCTAAAATACCAATAAAGAAAACTTATCACTCATAGTTGCAACTTGGAGGGAGGGAAAATTGAAAATAACTGACAAATGTCGTACTAAATGTATCTTTGAAACTGTTTATATCTTTAAATTGTACCATTAGAAACAGATCACTTGTTACTACTCACGGTTAATGGTATTCAAGTTATCGTGCAAGTTTTGTAGCATCATGTTTAGAAAGATAGCAATATTAGGAAGGAAATAGAAGAAAGAACCTTGAAATACTTTAAAAAATAATCACATCTATACATTGTAATAAATGCGGGTATATTTAAAAACTAGAGTTATTCTCCAAACTGAAGAATGTGGTAAAAATTATAATTATTTTTCATTAATCTGACGTTACTAAGTATTATGATAAGCATCTTAGGTTTAATTTTGTTGTTATTACAGAAATGTGACTATCAGAAAGTCAGGAATACCAATTTTTTTATTATATTTTATTATTATTATCATTATATTATCTTATTATTATCATTATATTATCTTATTATTATCATTATATTTATTTTGATATTATTATATTATCTTATTATTATCCTTATATTATCTTATTATTATCATTATATTATCTTATTATTATCCTTATATTATCTTATTATTATCATTATATTATCTTATTATTATCATTATATTTATCTTAATATTATTATATTATATTATTATTATTATCATTATATTTATCTTAATATTATTATATTATCTTATTATTATCATTATATTTATCTTAATATTATTATATTATATTATTATTATAACAATTATATTTATTTGCATTCATACTTCATCAGGACTAGCTACTTTCCCACAACTGGTCACAGAAACGTGAACGATGGATTTTAATGTGGGCATAATGGACTTGGACTTTTTTTTTATCTAAATAGTTACATATTTTTCGTTAGCTTGTGAACATTGGTTAACTCCGAATAAACTGCGTATCCTAAGTTCTGTACGTTCTACAAAATATTAATGATGCTTTATAAGAACGATGTTCTAAATCTCATGACGATGTTCTAAATGTCGTACTGCCATATATTAAAATTTTGGGATTCACAAACGATCTTATTTCACCTGAAAATAATTTGTAATAAAAAAAACAAGTAGTCTTGGCGAAATACGGAAACATAAACAATAAATCATGTGTCAAACATGATCTTACAGTTAAAATTATAACGAATAAGTCATACGATATTTCTGATATTGATTCACTGGTTTTTATATCGGACGACTTGTATTAAAACCTCCTAGAAGTATTGAATATTACTGTTAATTACACTGATTTGGTATAAATGACATTATAACATACTTACTTCAGTTTTTTTTGTAACAACCATATTTCGTAAGCCTTTTTTGCCATCTTGATCATCGTATTCTCCTAATAATATACTGACTAATGCGTATTCCATCAAGGAGGCGAACACGAAGACAGTGCATGATGACATAAATATATCAATTGCTTTAATATAGGATACAGGTGGTAATGACTTCTGCGATTGCGCATGTTGAGTCGACAACGTCAGTAGACTTGTGACACAGAGCGTGACACGTGCAGGGACAGCTTCGGGTCTGATCCAGAAAGAGATCCAAGACATAATGACAATCAAGCAAGTAGGAATATATGTGTGGAACATGTAATAGCCAAGGCGTCTTTTAAACTTAAACGATACTTCGATGCACGTGAAATTCCCTGTTAAAAAAAGAAAAGGTCAGTACTTTAGCCACTTGATTTGTTTGTTGTTAAGCACAAAACTATACAATGAGCTACGTATACCGTGCCCATCGCGAGAATTAAAACTCAATTTTTAACGTGATAAGCCCCAGGTTTATCTCTGAGCAGCGAGTGGCCACCTACTTTGAACAAATGGTCAATGTAAAACTGTATTAGTTAGTAACTATAATGTTTGCTTCCCAGTGGTTCAGTAGTAAGCTAAAAATACTAGATATATGGTCCCCGAAAGTATTCTGTTTCAAGAGCAGGTAAAATTAAGAGCAACATACATTTTTATTTCTTGCTTTTGAAGTTCGTATGTCATGCTGTTTTGTAGCCTACACATTTCTTTCTCTGACGTTAATCAGACGTAAGTGTTGACGTAAAGTAGGTTAATAAGGTAGTAATAATAAAAGAACAGCAATTAGGGAAAAAACAAACAAACAGTAAACGGAATAAACTGTCAGAAGTCTGATATCGGAGAAACTAGTTTCGACACATTTGTGCGCCTACGTGACCCCAGATCTTGGAATTCCCTTAAGGCCACAGGAAGTCAGAAAATTATTAAGTTTAAATTGATCTTGGGAAGTGTTGAAATTAGACAGGATTTTGATTAAGCAGCTTTCGACAATTGTTGACCAGTTTTTTCCTGAAGAGGACGCACCAATGTGTCGAGACAAGTTTCTCTTATATTAGTCTTCTGATAGTCTGTTCCGTTCACTGTGTTAGTTAATAAGGTAGGCTGTAACTCTTAGCTAATTAACTTTAAAAAGAGGGAAAGCCATTGACAGACATTTTATAAAGAATTTTCTTGCGTCTAATGCTAACGTTTTTAAACCAATAAACCCACGATTGGTTTCATTCAAGTGTAATGCATACACTACTTTGCAACACAAAGTTTTAACAACGTTTTTTTCGCCACAAAAGTCTGTATTATTAAATACATCAAGTGAATTTCATCGTGAAAATAGAGTTGGCTCTTTAATGTACAAAAGTGATGATTCGTATTACTCGACTGTCAAATAAGAATATTATTGCATCTGACGTACGAAAATTAGAATTTGTAACACATAGCTAGAGGAACTGACAGAGTTTGTTTGTTGTTGATCACAAACTTAAACAATGGGCCATTTGTGCCGTGCTCAATGCATGGATCGAACCACAAATTTAACATTATAAGCCTTAATTAATGATTATCTCTGAGCCGCCATGGAGCGAATCAACACAGAGAGTGAGAGATAATCCTGACAGAGTTTGTTTGTTGTTGATCACAAACTTATACAATGGACCATTTGTGCCGTGCTCAATGCATGGATCGAACCACAAATTTAACATTATAAGCCTTAATTAAGGATTATCTCTGAGCCGCCATGGAGCGAATCAACACACAGAGAGAGATAATCTCCTACTGTAATTGTCGTATCTTCTTCGTGTTCATTTGATCTCTCTATTATTTGCAGCATATCCTAGTAATGATACGATTCAAAGATTATTCTAAATCAGGTTGAAATCTTACAAGTTAAATAATACAAGCGCAATCATTTTGTGAAAAAAGTAGATACTTTATTTTAAAGCTCTTGACTACTTTACTTTGAAGATATGTTTTTGTTTCTCATACGCACGTATTCTAGAGTTGAAAATTTACTTATAAACGCGAAACAAGTTCACTAGAAAGTAAACAGCTTGTTTTTAATACATGACCTCCAGAGACTTGTCTACTAGTACTATATTTGTGAGTGTAACACTAAAGAAAAATTAGTATTTTATTTCTGTTTGGTAAGCTCCCAGTGGCACAGCGGTATGTCTGCGGACTTACAACGCTAGAATCCGGATTTCGATACCCTTGGTGGGCAGAGCACAGCCAGCCCATTGTGTAGCTTTGTGTTTAATTACAAACAACAACGGTTAATATAATCAAAGAAAGCCAATCATGAGCTTTTTTCAAGAAAAAAAAAGAAAATATAAAAACAAATATAGATTTCAATATTAACCTTACTAAAGAGGATAATAATAAACACAAAAATATTTATTCACTTCACAAAACATCATTTAAGTTAAACCTACCAGTAGAATAAATTTGGGTGCAGTCTCCTAGGCGTTTATCTACTAAGATGTGTTGTGGTAATTCAATTGAATCTTCAACAACCAGTGGGGTTTCTGGTTCCCAGTCAAACACAAGGGCGTCAGTAGTATACGATACTGCAGCCAAGAACAACAATATAATTAAATGTGAACGTTAATTCATACTAGCATTACGTTTGTTAAAAGGCAAATAAATTGATGTGTTACACCTGGTGGCTTAAATGTAAAGTACAATATTATTTAGGGACTGGCATGGCCAGGTGGTTAGGGCGCTCGACTCGCAATCTGAGGGTCGCGGGTTCGAATCCCTGTCCCTCCAAACATGCTCGTCCTTTCAGCCGTAGGGGAGTTATAATGTGACGGTAAATCCCACTATTTGTTGATGAAAGAGTAGCCCAAGAGTTGGCGGTGGGTGGTGATGACTAGCTGCCTTTCCTCTACTCTTACACTGTTAAATTAGGGACGGCTACCGCAGATAGCCCTCGTGTAGCTTTGCGCAAACTTCCAAACAAATTAAACCAAAAATAATATTTAGATTTTTTTTTATTTCGCCAACTTCATTCATCAGTTGATCGTTCTCTTTGAGTCTAGACAAAATGTTTTTTTTTTATTCTTACCCGTATTCTTATTTACAGGGTATATTAGACGTTTAGTGGTTGTTTACAAGAAAAGTGCAGACATCCGAAGATTAAACTGTAATTTAAAATTAGTGATATTCATGTATATAAAAACTGGTTAGGTGGCATTCCCTATTACCCCTGTAGAAAAACTGACGCAAGAGTTGACATATTTCGAATACGGATTTTGTCGCCTTAAACGAGTACTACAAGTCACGTGACTCGGTCAAATTGACCGGCCCCGTGTTGGGAGAGTTAACTAAGTGATTTATTTTTAAGTATTGTAATGCGATGAAATAGTAATTTGTGAATATACACAAAACACTTGATAAGTTCTTCCTGAATCACAATAAACAAAATATTGTTTGTTTGTCTTAGACCAAATGTAAACAATTAACTATATACAATTTGTTAACCTTAGGGAATCGAACCCCCGGATTTTAGCCTTATAACTCCGTAGATTTACCTCTGACCCATAGGGAGGACTGAACAAATGCAATTTTAAAACTGGAAAGTTTCGTCGTCAATGTCTACGTCAATGTTTTACTAATGCCAAGCATCATTCCATGGTGTAATGCGAATTTACATTTTACTTCAACAATGTCAATGTAAAGAAAGTTACAGACAAATACTTTCAGCAAAGGTATTAATTGATTCATTTCCACTCCAAGACAAGTGTTAAGAAGATACCTGTGAATAAATGTAATTTGCAGAAATATGTGTTTATTTGTAATTCACTTTATTTTTGCCACTTTCCAACCTTATACTATCATGACAAATAATTTAACCCATTTTGTATCATAATACACAGATGTAAAATGCATGTTTTGGTATTTAATATTTTTAAATATAACGACACATGAATTAACCGACTAAGTCTGGGACCCAAGGGTTCAGGCATTGTCATCTCCAATTGAGAATTGGTAAACAGAGGTGGAATAGAAAGTCAATAGCGTCGACTGTTTACACGGCTACTCTCAACCGAATAGCGAGATTGACAGTTACAGCAATAACGCTCCTACAGCTGAATATGCAGAATGTGCTCAACTCTTGGATCTTCCGCTCCTTAAATGGATGAAAAAGTAGAAAAGAGAAAAATACAAAGTCATGATTTTTATTTCTTTACATGACTCGATCATTTTTGCTTTTACAATCCATTTTAACTATCTTATTTGTCTAAAACAATGACTACTTTTCAAAACCCAAAAACAAAATTTGCTCTTACAGCTTTCAATCTTCATGGTGCAGATCTGGGTGTCATGAGGATAGGTTTCAAACGTCATAGCGCACGATAAAATTAGTGTTAGTCTGAAAAAAAAGACAGGTAATAGGATTGTGAAGGTCAGTTCTGAAACTACGGTTTCTAGTTCACCTTTTATTTAATACACATCAAAGTACAAAAACTAAAAAATACTATTTCGGTTTTTACCGTGTCGAAGTACTATTCTGACATAACGCAAGTCCCTTGTATAAGTTTTATTTATAAACGGTTAAGGAAATCACAGAGAAAAATATGCATATTATAAAAAGCACACATTTATTTACTTTTGTAATACATCAAGAATATTTTCTTAAATAAAATACCGCGTTATGTGTACGTTCGATACTTATGTTTGCTTGTTGTAAAGCAGAGCTATACAATAGGCTGGATATCTGCGCTGTGTCTACCACAGAGAATCGAAACCCAGATTTTATCGCTGTAAGCCAGTAAACTTACTGCTGACCCTCTGGATGACTCAGCATTAATTTCGACTTTATGAGACTATCTATAACAAAATCACTGTCAGTCAGAGTTGACAAGGCTTAAGCATAACAATCCTTAACATATCCCCCCCCCGTAACATTGACAAAATAACCAACCAGCAGCACCCACAGCTCACGTGATTATCTTTAACTGAATGGTGATTACAACGCTCCGCAGCTGAAAGTGCGGAGGGTGTTTGTTGGCATATCGTGTCTCGAATCTGGAGTTTTTTCGATATGAATTCCGACACGCTCGAAAAAAAAATACACGTGCGTATTAAGTTTTTAATTACCTGCTACTAAGTACACATGAGTTTTCCATTTTCTACGAAACTTCGACTTCACATTTTATTTAATTTTAACATATATTTGTTTACTTATATTATATTTTGTTAAATCCTAGACTGTATTTTACATCATGTGTTAAGCAAGTTATTTAATTCCTGAAATGTGAACAATCCCATCATGTGTAGATCTACTGTCTGATTAGCGGTAAAAATAAACTTTGTTTGCTATTAAGCACAAAGATACACAATGGGCTATCTGTGCTGTGCCCACTACAGCATCGAAACCCAGGTTTTAGGATTATAATATTTCAAATTTACCACTGAGCATCCTCTGAGGATCACAATAAACAATAACGCCCTCAGAGAAAGTTTACAAAGAACAACTCATATTATTTTATTGTTTGTTTGATATTAAGCACAAAGCTACACAATGGGCTATCTGTACTCTTCTCACCACGGGTATCGAAACCCGGTTGCTAGCAGTATAAGTCCGCAGACATACAACTGTGCCACTGTGGGGAAGAGGCAAAGAAAAAACATTGATGAAAAGGAGGAGCAGTGTTTCCTATTGTCACATATCACCACTGACCTCGTTCAAAAAAAAATATATATATATATATGTTTGTATTTGGGGATATACAAATAGATTGCACTCAAGTGGCTCAAAAGTAAGTCTGCAAGCTTACAGCTACCCTATTCTGTAGCTTTGTGCTTAACAACAATCAACCAAACCAGTTATATTGATTGTAGGTTAGACTCAAGTCTAAAATACCCAGTATCGTCGTTACCGTAAAGAAGGGGCAGAATGTGAGTCGAAATGCACCTGTAGCGAAAAGATTGTTCTCCACATCCGGGTACTGTTAACCTTGTCCGCCATCTTGTAGTTCACGCTACGGCCATTGACAACATTAAACATAATGCATAAAATAAAATGTTTACTTGTTGCTGTTTGACCTGATGTAACACTTGAAAACACAACAAATGTTTATTATTTTCAAATTTCACCGTAGTCAGCTCATTTGTTTGTAAGTTACACAATCTTGTCTCGATCGATATGAATCCTTGTTTGACTTACAAGATGGCGGCTGAAGTCTGGATGTATGGCGCCATGTGGAAACTATCTATTCGGCACAGGAGCTCGAACATCTCTGTTTTTGTCTCGATAAGGACATGAAACAAATATATTTAAGCTCCTGGAACCTGAATCCCATTTAAAAGCTCTGGAAATGCTTTGGGATGCTGTCAAAGGACAAACTTCGAAATCTGATTACACTTAAAGTTGCTATACAATAGAATTGGCGGTCGACTCAATCAAACTTATTCCACCGGTTGAAAGCACGTGTTAGTGACAAAGTCAAGGCAGTGATCAACTCCATCTGTGAGCACATCTTGTACTAGAATACTGTTCCAAGAGCGAAACATATGGAGTACTAACTGTGTCAGAACTTTTAGTAAAACGTGGTATATATTTCATACACACATAACTCAAATTTATTCATATATATATTAGTATAAAGACGTGCTTTAAAGAAACAAAAAAGCTACACTGTGCTCGGTGTCTGTTGAAAAATAACTTACATCAATACCATAAAAACGACAAGCCTTTGGTAACTCCCAATAATTATGGTCAACATGTTAAATTTGTTTACTTTCAAAACATTGAAATGAACAACTAGTTAAGATAACGAACCTCACAACGTAAAATAATTAAATCAGAATGTTGCCAATATTGGCAAAGTTCTGATTTAGTTCTTTTACGCTGTGAGGTTCGTTCTTACAATTCATCTCTGTCTTCTGAAAGAATCAAAGTAACTACTTACTTTACCATATAAAGAATGGTTTTATCGCCATATAACCAAATATAGTGATTGGGAATGGTCATCTCCTGAAACGTGACCTTCTTGGCATTCTTGAAGAAAGAGTCCGGTCTCCACATACGTTTCAACCAGCTGACGGGTAGAAGACGATAATAGCTGGTCATGTTTTCTGGAAGTCGAAGTCTGTGATCCTTCCAGCTTTGAGACAGGAAGATGTCTGCCACGTAGGTCTGTATAAAACAGTCAGTAAACTTGCATTTAAAAAAACTTTAACAATCTCCGATACTGAACAAACATTACTGGAAAAGCTAAAAATTTGGATAAATCTGTAAGTGAGCATTTTGAAGTTAATACAGCCCACAAGACAGGTGGCAATATATTTAACTATAAAAACTCCGTTAACGAGGCTTCTTCGTGACTTAGTGGATAACATACCGGATTGTGAATCCCTGGACCCATGGTTCGTGTCCCGTTCTTCAAAACTTCTTTCCACACTTTGGGACCGTGATGCGTTATAAGAGATATAGTTAAATCCTATAATCCCTGGACCCATGGTTCGTGTCCCGTTCCTCAAAACTTGGTTCCACACTTTGGGACCGTGGTGCGTTATAAGAGATATAGTTAAATCCTATAATCCCTGGACCCATGGTTCGTGTCCCGTTCCTCAAAACTTCGTTCCACACTTTGGGGCTGTGGTGCGTTATAAGAGATATAGTTAAATCCTATTATTTTATTATAGCAACCCAAAAGTTGGTGATGGGTAATGTTAACTAGCTCCCTCCCCTCTAGTCTACCAGTTCAGAATTAGGGACGGCTTGCGCCGATATCCCTTTTGTACAAGCTTCCTCTAAAGTGTAACAACAGCTATGATAAGAAAGAATGAAACTTTAAATTGCACAGAAAAAGCATAAGACAAAAACAAAACAAAAATTGAACTATATACATGTGCATACTTCCTTGTGAAATCAACCCGTAAAAGTTACATAATTATAGTTTGTTCCATCTTGATCTACGTTTTTATTATTGTCTATTGGTACAACAAATAAAACTAAAATTCTTGATTTACGGGTTTGTTGATCTTATTTACAGAAATGAGTTGATTCGATAGTTTCTCTTTCATATCGTCTTTGTTTTCGCATCTTGGGTTGTAAAGCTATTAATTATTGCCCAGTGGTTAATACTAAATGGGAATCCGATGATTCACGGTTTGCGTCCCGCAGCCGAAACTCAAAAACGCCCCCAAGTGGCACAGCGGTATGTCTGCGAACTTACAATGCTAAAAACCGAGTTTCGATACTCGTGGTGGGCAGAGCACAAATAGCCCATTGTGTAGCTTTGTGCTTAATTACAATCAAACAAACAAATTCAAAAGAAAACACACGTAAGGCGGGCGAGGGCGAGCTTCTTCCACTAGGATACCGAAAAGCAGATTATAATCTGAATCTCTAATGCTGATACTAAAACGTGAAGCAACAGTTGCATGTTACATTCATGTTCTACATCAACAGTTGCATGTAACAGTGATGTTGTTATACTCGAATAAACAAGATTAGATACAGTAAAGTACTAACTATGTAAACATTCAATACTGAGTGCTGTCGAAATAAAAAAAAACATTCTGTAAACCACATGTGTTAATATTGACGTTTCAGAAATAACCTGCCACTCCAGCATAACCGTCTATCCATCTATAGAAAAATTCTGTAAACCACATGTGTTAATATTGACGTTTCAGAAATAACCTGCCACTCCAGCATAACCGTCTATCTATCTATAGAAAAATTCTGTAAACCACATGTGTTAATATTGACGTTTCAGAAATAACCTGCCACTCCAGCATAGCCGTTTATCTATCTATAGGGAATGACAATATTTCACTGATTCCATATAAACATTTGAAGTATATTCTTTACGTAAGACGAATGCTTACTGTTTTCTCTAAATTTTACATCTAAAATTTTACGTACCGATTTATAACCCTAACTACAAAAGTATCATTGCAATATCTTAGATAATAGTGTCCTAAGTTCAATAGACCCCACCAAACATGCTCGCCCTTTCAGCCTTGAGGACGTTCTAATGTGACGATCAATCCCGTAGTTATTTTATAATGAAAGCGTCCTGAAACATCTTATGTTTTATTAATTTTTTAGGGCCCGGTATGGCCAGGTGGTTAGGACGCTGGACTCGCAATCTGCGGGTCGCGGGTTCGCATCCCCATCCCACCAAACATGCTCGCCCTTTCAGCCGTGGGGGCGTTATAATATGACGGTCAATCCCACTATTCGTTGGTGAAAGAGTAGGTGATGACTAGCTGCCTTTCCTCTAGTCTTACACTGCTAAATTAGGGACAGCTAGCGCAGATAGCTTTGCGTGAAATTCAAAACAAACATTATTTTTTTTAAAAATTCGGAATAAACCTGAGATGAATAGAATGAGGGACCGAACTTTAGTTAAAGTATCAATTTAATTATGGCTCCCCATCGGCATAGCTTGATAGCTTGTAACACTAAAATTCAGGTTTTAATGGCAGCTGTGGACGAACAAAAAATCTATTTTCAACCTGTATATTAATAGTTAAAATGGTCCTAAAACAGGTAATTCCCCTTGTATGAAGAAAATATTATTATTTCAATCTTTTGTTTGTTTGGTCCTAAAACAGGTAATTCCTCTTGTATGAAGAAAATATTATTATTTCAATCTTTTGTTTGTTTGGTCCTAAAACAGGTAATTCCCCTTTTATGAAGAAAATATTATTATTTCAATCGTTTGTTTGTTTGTTCGCTACAGATTTTCAATAATTCTCAGCTTAATTAGGATTATCTCAAAACAAGGAATGATTCCGTTTCAGTAAAATAATCCCATGTTAATGTGAAGCATAACGCTGCTTGTGTGGGTTTTTGAAATTGGACAGCTAAATGAAATGGATAACGTAGCTCATAACGTAGCTCTTGAAATAGAAAGTGTGTTCCTGAGTATCAGCAACTAGTTATAAAAAACGCATAAAGAAACTTGTATTTGAAATAGAAAGTGTGTTCCTGAGTATCATCAACTAGTTATAAATAACGCAAACAGTTGATTGACCACACTTACCATAGAACCTTCATCAATTGAATCTAGATTCAACACCCAAACATGAAAGCGCACAACGGTAGGTTCGCCTGGAAAAAAAATAGAAAAGCATCATATTGTTATAGGATATACAAGACGGGCCAATAGTTAAATGCAATACTGCGTAAGATAGTTAGTCTCTAAAAATGAAGAAAGAGGATTTTTTAAACAGCTGAAGGTTTTGTTGAGCTTTATCGATAACTAAAATATATTTAAAAAACATTAGATTCTCCTTTTTCATAACGCAAACAACGCATTAAAAATGATACGTAACAAAAAAAAAGTACGAATTTTAAATTATTTAAAAAATTTAAAACCGTGAGCATAACAATATCTTTTTACTTTTTTTATTTTAAACTTTAAAAGTTTCAAGTACAAATTTTCATTCACGAATAAAAAGGCATACTTTATTATTTAAACTGTATTTCTCCTTCCGATAGAAAATTACTATACAATGATAAACTATGCACAAACTAAGTTCCGTATATCCACTTCCGTATATCCACTCAAACCCTTCTTAGAAAAATAAACTAAACTCTCTTTTGTATAAATTTCTAGGGCCCGGCATGGCCCTAGAATCCCCGTCCCACCAAACATGCTTGCCCTTTCAGCCGCGGGGGTGTTATAATGTGACGGTCAATCCCACTATTCGTTGGTAAAAGAGTAGCCAAAGAGTTGGCGGTGGGTGGTGATGACCGGCTGCCTTCCCTCTAGTCTTACACTGCTAAATTAGGGACGGCTAGCGCAGATATCCCTCGTGTAGCTTTGCGCGAACTTCAAAAACAAACAAGATATCGCGGAAAAAATATTTCTTTAAATCAGTCTATGTTCAATAACATTATTAAGTTATTAAATATCCTGAAATTTAATAAAATTGTTTAAACAGTTATTGTAAAGATTTTGGTTTAGTAAAGTAATTGTAAATATTGACATTTAGTGCTTCAAAAAATCGAAATAAAATAAATCGCTCAACAAATAAAGTTATACTTCGACCTTGGAGCAATTTTTAGCCGCGGCATAACGGCTCATTGAATAACTCTGAGTTTGTTTTCTTTTTTCAAGTACAAACGTTTAGCTCATAGCTCAGTCATCTCTTGACCGAATTTGAGATCTAATTACAGTTTTTGGACTCAGGAGGTCAAGCCCTTTTAACTACTGTGTTTGACCACGCCCAGGGTCTCATAGATTAATTAACTCCAATCCTGCCTAAAATAATTTAAATTTGAGGGTAGACTTGTAGAGATCCTGATGAGTAATAAAACTGAATCGGATATACGCGCGCTTCACGCTTGGTATTGCTGGTGCACAGAAATATATCTAATAAAAAAAGAAGGAAAAAAAGCCTTATAGATTAATTTACTCTAATCCTGCCTAAAAGGATTTCCTCTCGTTTTATATCTATAGAAAATATGTTTGGAGATCAAAGGAATTAACAAATTATGTAATATATATAACTTTAGAATACAGTTTTATCGCTGAATAGTAGCAAAAGTTTTAATATATTTTCAAATACATTACGGTTGAAAAATGTGCTAGCTCATTAGCATAAAAACATGCAGTGTAAAGAAAGGATAATGCATTAGATAATTTTTATGAAAAATCCCCCTCCCTCTCGTTCCCTGTCCTCCGATGTGACAGCGGTAAAGTCTACGAATTTCCAACCCTAAAATCCAAGATTCGACTCTACGCGGTGGACACAGCAGATAGCCAAATGTGGCTTTGCTCTAAAATAAGCAACAAATAAACCTCTCTTCTTAAATTGCTGCCAAGAATGATTTATTTAAATGTTTTATCAGCACAAATGCATTTTTATAATATCGGAACTTTTTTTGTACTTTATTTCCCATTAATATACCATATCGCCCCCTTCCGGTATTTTTATAAAGCTTACCTTGTGTGACAGCAATAGTAATCCAACATATAATCCACTTTTATTACCGTAGTTTGGAGCTAAAAATTGAAGAAAAACAAATACACACTTACTAGCATTGAAATCAACAAATCACATGTGCTTGTTTGTTTGTTTTGTAATTAAGCACAAAGCTACACAACTGGCTATCTGTGCTTTGCTCACCACGGGTATCGAAACCCGTATTCTAGCGTTATAAGTTTTTGTGAATTTTTTTTTGCACAAAGTAAGTTTAAAAGTTAACCTTTATTAACGGCACTGAATTGAACAATTTGTATAAGAAAATAAATATGTCAAGAATAAAATAATGTGATTTTATTTGTATGATCCGTTATACGTACTTGAGTGTCGTTTCTAGTTGCCAGTGGTTAGCCTTCCGGACTTAATCTATGTGGTTCGCATCCGTTAGATGTAAAATAAAATGGTTATTCGCATTTTGGAGCCGTGGGTGGGTACTTCATAAAAGTGACAGTTAAATCCCATTATTATGTCTGACAAGTGTAACCGAATTAAGAGTTGGCGGTGGATGGTGTTGACTAGCTGCCTTCCCTCTTGTCAATCACTTCAAAATTAACAACAGCTCGTGTATATAGACCTCGAGCAACTTTGCGCGAAATCCAACGAACAAGTATGTCTGACGTCAAGGAAACTTGGGTAACCATTATCATCCTGGATGATTGTAAGTTTTCGTTGGATAAGTGTTTGTTACCATGGTTTTAAAACTGTCATGGTTATGTTATTTTCAGTAATACAGGTTCTAGCAAAAGTTACATTTGAATAAGAATAGAAATGATTTAGATTTCAACTTAATTGTTTTTCTAACTTGAACAGTTTTGATGCACACGCCGCCTTATGTGTCAAATGTCTTGCTTTTTTCCAGACTTTGAAGTTGTTGTTTTTTTTCTGCTTAACATATTTTGGTAAAGTAAGCTATCGTGTGTAAACTGAATGTAGAAAAAAAAAGAATCGTATTACCATGACAACCGTTGTCGTTGTTAGTAGCCTATACGATCACCAAAGAATAATTAGTAATTAATTATTTCTATGTTAATACTGGATACTTTATCCTATATTTGGTTGCTAATCTCCTGCCCTATTTACAGATGTCCAGAGAAGGTTTGATTACGTTTCTTATTAATTTCGCGCCCTAAATGAGCAGTGAAAGAGACTAGAGGGTTGTTTTGAATTTCGCGCAAAGCTACACGAGAGATATCTGCGCTAGCCGCCCCTAATTTAGCAGTGTAAGACTATAGGGAAGGCAGGTATTCATCACCACCCACCGTCAACTTTTGGGCTACTCTTTTACCAACGAATAGACCTGGAGTTGATTTGCGCGAATTTCAACTCAAGCTGCCATAATAGCCATAATGATTTTCAGTTATGTAATCAAACTCAGTCACGTGAAGCATATACATAAATCCTAACATTTGTACTTGGTATTGAACATTACATACACGTGTGTTAGTGTTTTAACAGCTTTTATCTCTTCCAACTAGTCGGTATTGCTTCAAATTTGTGAGTTGATATCACAGTACACCGTTCTAGGACAACACACACACACACAACACACACACAAAATAGGAGATTAATTTTTCCCATACTTACATGTTACATTGACCGTTCTCTTTGGGTGGTCGAAGGTTGTCGTAATCTAACTGTGTGTATGGCAATATGTTGTCGTTTCCAACACTTACCTTCTATACTCATCGTTCTCTTTGGGTGGTCAAAGGTTGTCGTAGTCTAATGGGTTGTCTGGCAGTATGTTGTCATTTCCCACACTTACCTTCTATACTCACCATTCTCTTTGGGTGGTCGAAGGTTGTCGTAGTCTAATGGGTTGTCTGGCAATATGTTGTCAATTCCCACACTTACCTTCTATACTCATCGTTCTCTTTGGGTGGTCGAAGGTTGTCGTAGTCTAATGGGTTGTCTGGCAATATGTTGTCATTTCCCACACTTACATTCTATACTCCACCATTCTCTTTGGGTGGTTGAAGGTTGTCGTAGTCTAATGGGTTGTCTGGTAATATGTTGTCAAATTCTAGAACTTCTTGTCTATAAAAATCAACAATCACTATTTACATGGAATGTTACTGCAGTTTAATATATTATGTATTTCGACTATTAAATATTTACCTTAAAGCAGAAAAGGTACTTATGTATAATTTAAAATATGTATATTATGAAATATACTTACTGCGCTTTCACGGGTTTCCCCATTCCCACTATTTCAATTTACAGAACTTTTACAGAGAATAAAATGTAATTTTTACAACAGTGAAAATCCTTTTCCAAAATGTTTTTTTTTTCTCTGTCACTTTCATTCCAAGGATCTTTTTGTAAAATAAAAGTTGAAATAATTCCAAAAATGGGTACGTTATTAAAGCTCACCTCTAAAAGTTAACCAGACTACGACACCAGAAGACGTCGTGCTTAATGATACTTAAATAAATACAAAAAATATTATTCGTGTGGTTTCAACATAGCTAATATGTGCAGGTTATTTCTTATGCCATGGCTACCAACCATATATCACACTCGAATAAGTTACTTAATCAGATTTATTTATCAGTTTTTATTGGTAAAAGGCATAATGGAACTGAATGTTATTGTAAAACAGGTCATAAAAAGAACTTATGATTGACAGGATTTCACGATTGCTCCTTCACATCATCTTAAGATAAAATTAAGAGAAATTGTATAGTTGAGAGATGTCTTCATGCTAACTATGGCCATGTTATTTTTTATTGTATAAAAAAATCGTATTTCCTGTTAACATATGTTTTGTTAGGACTAATAAAGATTGTAAGACGGGAAAAGCTCATAACGTAATTCTACTATGATGGAAGATATATCTGATGAAACTGTACGAAATAAACAAGATCAGAAACCTAGAAACCATAATTCTACTGTAATGGGAAATAAATCCGGTGGAATTATACGAACTAGATGAAACATTGATATATATATATATATTACCCTATATCTTCACAGTCTTAATATGTATACGGATATTTATTTATACCTAACTTACATAGAATCAAAAGTGGATCTAAAAATTTATGTAACTAAAAATTGGACATCTTCGAAATTCACTAGTACATTATGGATACCTGGGTTCTATATGTCAACTCATTTAATTGCACAAAAAAAAGAGTTGTTTTTAATCTATTGTTGTAACCTTACAAGTAACATTACGTGTCAAGTATGTATATATATATATATATATATTGTTAACTGTCTCGAAAGAGTATTCAAAGGATACACAAAATACGTATAAATGTATCACTCACTTAGATTATTCCATCCTTACGGATAATGAATGTTTTCAGCTGACAATAGATTTTAGACATAATGTAATCTGTATAGAAATCTGAAAATATATTGTGTAATATGTAAGTTGAATACGTTATATTAAAACGATTTTGTAGCCTTACAACGTCGTTATAGTCCATGCCACCATGTCCGATCATGCTCTATCTGACGACCGTGCATGTTGACAATAGCTCAGCCGAAAGGCCGTCATGTCCAAAACACAACCATTTTCCCTTGCTTGCTGTCCATAATCCATATAATGTACGAGGACGACGTTTCCCAGCGATCGTTTCAACAGTTCGATTGCACAGAAATCAGTCAGCATGTACTGCTCCTGGCGACTTGACTGTATAACTTCGAATGGAATAGCACAATTTCTCGTTTCTGTCTCTAGCTGCGTTAGGAACGGTTGAACAGCTATAACGTGGAAACAGCTTGCGTAAACGTGACTTATTTTGCTTTTCTAGGTGTAGACCCTTCTTAATGATGTTGCGTACTGATGCCTGGGGCATGTTGACGGCTTTTGCAACTGACCATTGTGTTCGTTTAAGAAAACCGCACTGTTCTAACCAAGGCTGGGATATAACTTGTTGGTGGTGATCTCTTTCTGGATAGTCCTGGTGCCTCAAAATGATCCATATTTCTTTGTTTTTCAATGGCATTGAGTGAAAGGGTTGTTTCCATCTTGGAAAGTCTCTAAGTCCCCGATCTGTTGTATAAATATCTTGCGCCTAAAGGGGCGGTTTCATACCCTTTCTGAAAGCGATAACTCTTCCTTGGCATCACACTACCCATGCACCGCCAAACAATTTCACAATTAGTTTAAACTTACGCGTTTTATTAAAACGCTAGGGTAAATATAAATATACTTATAGGTAAGATAATATCATGTTTAAAGCATGCAATATAAAGCTGTAAAACAACTGGAAATACATAGCTAATCACATTACCGACATTTCACTGAAAACAGGTAAAATGTTTCAATGACATTACACAGATAATTTTACAGCATTTATCAAAGTACGACACCTAATTTACATTATTAAAATCATCCTAAAAATGACCTCAAACCTTCCCAATTAAAAAAGAAGAAAAAAAACCGTTGAAAACGGAACGTACCTTGTTATTTTTAGAAAGCAGACGATGAAAAACGTCCAAATCCGCACACGAAATGACTTCATTTTTTCTTCCTTAACAGGAAACGTGGTTATGATCTAAAAGGAAGAATTGAAACGTTTTCATTGAAGTTTGTGCTGTTCCATGTATAAACGTTTCTGTTCGTTTCATAATATTAATAAAGTTTTGATTATTTATTCTAATTTATTTCGCGGTTTACTTCTGCTTATACCCCCCCCCCCAGTGGCACAGCGGTATGTCTGCGGACTTACAACGCTAGAAACCGGGTTTCGATACCCGTGGTGGGCAGAGCACAGATAGCCCTTGTGTAGCTTTGTGCATAATTAAAAACAACAACAACAACAACAACAACTTCTGCTTATTCTACTGCTCGTTTCCTCTCACTGTCTTCATGTTCTTCAATATAATTCGGATATTATTTAATTTGTTAATGTATTTTGATACACCTTGTTTTCAGATTTCTCTGATCATAGAACAGATATATTTCGAAACGTTCGAGTCATCTAAATGAAACGTTTTACACTAATTACCGTCCTTGAATTCATTAGTACATGGGTTTATGATCAGACCTATTGTAAATATTTCATTATGAATCGCATTTTAACAGCAAAGCCTTTCTTATGAATGTATTTATATACAAAGTGTGTGTGTGTGTGTGCGTGTCAGGAATATTTCAAATATGTGTGCTCTGATCTTAAATATTCGGCCGCAACCTAAATGAACGACCCCCCCAGCAATTGATATATCTTAAAACGCTTTAAAATTGCAAGAGATAAGTTCGAAACGTATCCCATAATGCCTGCTAAGCCTCGTGCCTTTAAACGAAATGTCATCGGTTTTATAGCTTTTATCCACTCATACAACGGGCATATGTTATTGCTATAATAACATCTTTTTTATAGCTTACAATCTTATAAACTTTTTTTTGTACAAATTTTTTAGTACTAAATAAAACTTTACGTTTTTTTATATGACGTTATGTGTTGTCCATTTGATGTTCTGTGTGTACAAGTATTGCATCCACGGTATTATTTAGAATACTAATTCGTATCAAATGCGAATATTCTTATTTCCAATTTCAAGCTCTGGCTAGCGAAACGAGGCAGATCTGAGCATATAAATTAGGGTACAGGCGTTCTTCACATATGCATTATGCATATATATATTAAGCCATACCGGTGCGGTAACTATCCAATATCAAGGAAAACTTCCTGCCTGTCTGTGAACGCATCTCTTTCTAAACGAATTGACTAATCCAGACCAGACTTGGCATGCTAGCGTAATAGTCAAAAGAAAGAGGTTTTATTTACTATTAGTCATATTGTGCGTGTTTTCCGCGTTTTAAAAAGAAAAAAGACAAAAGAGTGTAGTCTTCTTAAAATAACCTGCAAAACGTTTAGGGTAAGACATCTGAAGTACATTACAAGAGTTTCAAAATGAAAGCCCATTATTGACTTAAAGTTATCTTTTACTTGTAGACTATCACTGAATCTATCGGGTTTTCACCAAGGGCAGAGCTGGGCATGCAGTTTGCCGCTCAAAAAATTAGTCAAATTGCACGTTTACATAAGTATTTTATATATATATATATTGACTCTTACATTTTCCTAAGAAATAAACCAGATTCAGACCACTTTCCTTTGCGAAACGTTTCTCACGGTGACTCTTCATGCAGTTATTTGGATAATTCCGATTTTAAACGTTTCGTTTATATTGTTATCCTACCTCGAGTCACGGCCGGTACGAAACGCTATAATATTCCCTCTGATATCTACAAGACGAAATTAAGAAAACTTTGTTTGTTTGTTTGTACTTAAGCACAAAGCTACACAAAGGGCTATCTGTACTCCGCCAACGACGGGTATCGAAACCCGGATTCTATCGTTATAAGTCCGCAGACATACCGCTGTGTCACTGGGGGGCTATTAAGAAAATAAAATAGACAGTAAGACGCATAGGTTACAGGGAGAGAAATAGAACAATTTATCATAACAGTATTAGTTTATAACTCGGTTGAGTTTATTCGCATAGATAATGTCTACTTTTCATCTATGAATGTTTGTGTAATTAGAGTTGTACAAAAAAGAATGAAACTTTTACATCTGCAAATCCATTAGCCAGAGACACACGGTCGTTTCCATAGCAGCAGATGTTTCAATAATCCCTGGTCGGCAGGAAACCGTTAAACCTAATAGAAACCGAAGGTCTTTAGAGGCTACGTGTGCAAACGTACTTCGAGCTTCTTCTAAGACAACACTCTCTGTTTGAATGTAGCATTCACGAGATGGTCTTAATATCCGCTGTTAGTTTTACGAACAGAATACAACATTTATATCAATGAAAGAGGCCGATTTATAAAGAAAAACAAGGAATATTCTGTTGTCGCTAGATTATCGCTGATATCTAGCTACTGAAAGAACTAAGCTTGATAAGAATTGATTACATTTCAACAAAAATTGCGATTAGCTATGCACCCAAAAATATAACAATTCAATATATATCTATATTGTCACGGAGTGCAAACTGCTTCTTTCTTTTGGTTCGTACCATTTGTGAATCATATATGTCTACCAATTCAATTAAAACAAACTGGTACCGAGAGTGGTCTAGTGGTTAGCTTGCAGGTCTGTGAAACGTAAGATTCGAGGTTCAAGTTCGAGAAATGACGCTGAACAAGTTCCAAGTATTCGTCTTTGATGGAGCTGTAACAGAGAAGTCAATCTCGTTATATCGTTAAAGGTATCCGTGTAGGCGGCTGGTGTTCTCAATTCGTTGTCCTTCATCTGACTGGCGGTTCTAAATTAAGATCTGCCTTTCCTGGACCTTGGTGTATTTTTTGACCTGCCCTTTTATATCATGTATCACAAAATATTGTTACCCAGGCTACAGTTACTAAAATAGTGTTGTCCAGGCTACAATTCCTAAAATATTGTTGACCAGGCTACAATTACTAAATTATGTTGTCCGGGCTACAATTACTAAATGCTAAAATAGACCGACAGTGTCAATCAAAATTATCACAAATCTGTTGAATTTTGTGTATTTGACACTACATAAAACATTCTACAATGTATAACTCATAATCTATACCATCTAAAATATTAAAGCTTCGCATTTAATAGATTATACATATTTTTCTGATATTTACTCTTTGTTGCACCCAAGTGGCTGAGCGGCACATTCTACGGGCTTATAACACTAAAAATCGGGTTTCACAAACCGTGATGGGCACGGCAGATATAGCCCATTGTGTAGCTTTATGTTTAACAATAAAGAAACAATCAATATGTTTACTAGACAATCTTCTCGTAATACTATTGGTAGAAAATATTGCAAAATAACACATATATCGAATCCACCTGAAATTAACGAGACTTATTTTGCAACATCCGTACTATTTGTTTCGCAAAATTTCTTCACATCATTAGTTTGACCAAATTAACGAGACTTATTTTGCAACATCCGTACTATTTGTTTCGCAAAATTTCTTCACATCATTAGTTTGACCAAATTAACGAGACTTATTTTGCAACATCCGTACTATTTGTTTCGCAAAATTTCTTCACATCATTAGTTTGACCAAATTAACGAGACTTATTTTGCAACATCCGTACTATTTGTTTCGCAAAATTTCTTCACATCATTAGTTTGACCAAATTAACGAGACTTATTTTAAACATCCGTACTATTTGTTTCGCCAAATTTCTTCACATCATTAGTTTTGACCATTTTTCACTAGTTGTAGATTAGATTAGATTTGGTTTCGTTTGTTTTGAACTTCGCGCTAGCCGTCTCCAATTTAGCAGTGATAAACTAGATGGAAGGCAGCTAGCCAACATCACCCACCGCCAACCCTTGGGCTACTCTTTTTACCAACGAAAAGTGGGATTGGCCATAACATTATAACGTCCCCACGACTGAAAGAGCGAGCATGTTCGGTGTGACTGTAGGTTAGAAACCCAGTGTTCCTCACGAGTATCAGTAATCAGTAATATTCAGTCTACAGTTGCCGAATAATGATGCTACTTTATATGGTTGGTTGTTTTGAATTTC